GGGGGTGGGGTGGGGGTGGTTTATTCATCTTCTAGCATTTTAAGTGCTAACAGAGAGCCTTTGACGCTCTGACTTCTGAAAAAGGTGAATGCACAGTGTAGTGACAGAACCTATTACTGCATTGGTGGCTCTCTTAGACGACAAGGAGGGGTAGAATTCCTGCAAAGAGGGGGAGGGGGGCTCTTTGGACTCTGATCAAACTGTCAGTTTATAACCCACCAGCTGGGCCACCATATAAAGTGGGGATTCCTGTTTATGAGGTTGTCTTTTGGCAGGTGTTTGAGCGCAGCTTTCTTCCACTCTTATTTTGTTTTTGTTCTTTCCTCCTCTGTAGGTTGGATGTGCTGTTCCGCATTTGGGAGCGATGGAGTGACTGAACCCTGTAATTGACGTGGCTTTTCAGCACAGATCCAAGCTCCTAGACTTCCGCCAAAAGAAGTACTGCTTCACCAAAGAAGGTCCTCTCAGCACATGAAAAATTTAAGGAAATAATTGCTCTTTTTCTTTTGCGTTTTAAGTTTTTTTTTTGTCATTAGGTCTCAGACAGGAGAATAATAAAAAAAATATTTAAAGGGCAAAAGTGTTTCTTTGGAGGGATTTGGTCTTGGTTCTTTTGTGTGTGAGAGGTGTTGGCCTAACCCGGCATCATGTATGGCAGTGCCCGCTCCGTGGGCAAAATGGAGGGCAACAACCAGAGCCCTGGGCGTTCTCCACGGCTGCCTCGCTCACCCCGTCTGGGGCACAGGCGCACCAACAGCACGGGTGGCAGCGGTGGGGGCGCGGGAGGCTCTGGAGGTAAGACGCTCTCTATGGAGAACATTCAGTCGCTGAACGCAGCATATGCTGCCTCAGGCCCCATGTACCTTAGTGACAACGAGGTTGTAGTGGCACCTCCTGACCAACCCAAAAGCACCATGACGCTGGGCCGCTCCGGTGGTCGGCTCCCCTACGGAGTCCGTGGTGCGGTCATGGGCAGCAGCCCCAACATCGCAATGGCAGCACCACCCAGTGCCGGTCCTAGCGACGCCATAGCGTTCGGGGACCACCACATGCCCTCGGGCCTGGCGTCCACGGTGCCTCACTCGCTGCGCCAGGCGCGGGACAATACCATCATGGACCTGCAGGCGCAGCTCAAGGAAGTCCTGCGGGAGAACGAGCTGCTGCGCAAGGAGGTGGACATGAAGGAGAGCAAGCTGAGCTCCTCCATGAACTCCATCAAGACCTTCTGGAGCCCCGAGCTGAAGAAAGAGCGTTCCCTGCGGAAGGACGAGGTCTCGAAGATGGCCGTGTGGAAGGAACAGTACCGAGTGATTCAGGAGGAGACCCAGGTGAGAGACGGGGGCTGGGGGGGGGGGGGGGGGGGGCATGGACAGTGTGGAGAGGTTTGACTTGGCAGTTTGTTTTTTATATTTTCTGGGAAACAGTTTGATGGATCTTTTTTAACCATAAAAGCACAGAATCTACCATCCTTGTGGTACTGTCCATTTCTCCTGCCATGATAACAAGGTGTAAACTACACCATTAGCGGCTACCATAGCCAGCAAGGGTTTTGGAGGTTGGCGAGTGGATATTATTAATAACTGCCTTGATTCACTGTAGACTGATGCTCTCAGATTAAAAGAGCCATTTGTCTGGTTGCTCCAGATATGGCACCTGATAGACTCGTTGTTAAAAGGTGGTACGAAGTCATGGGGCTGATACAGTCTGAGCTCTATTTCAGCAGAACATGAGACATTTTTAAACACATTGAGCAAAATGCTCAGCATGCTTAAAATTGATTTGACAGGTTTCTCCCTCAGTTGTGTAGAGTTTGGGCTGGTTTAGGATAATGCTGCTTTTCACATCCACATTTCCATTCCTTTATAATGATGTGATGACGAGTGAGAGTCATTATGTTTTTGGAGGCCCTCATTTGTGGTGTCTTTATCGACAGAATATTAGCGTTTTCTGTGCAGGCCATGCCAGTGGTGGGATCGGGGGGGTGCCACACAGAGAGAACTTAGAGACGGACCCCCCTGTGCGCTGAAGTGTTGGGCAGTACCAGATGGTCTTAGTATTACCTCTGCATGTTGGCCTTTAAGATCTCTAGGTTCTTTTTCTCAGACTGGGTGGGGGTGACATGGGTTGCTCTGCATATAAAATGCCAGTTTTTAACCCCCCACCCACCCCTCCAGCAAGACCTTCTCCTTGAGTGGTGGTCATATATTAATGTGTGCAGGAACAGCAAAGCCCAATTTAAATGTGTATGACTTTGCATTTGAGGGGCACCTATTATAACCAGCTGCCTGGTTTGAGGCAGGTGGCTCCGGTTTGTTTCTCCTCCTCTTCGTGACCCACCATCTTTCTTCCACTCTGTCCTGAATTCCCCTCCCCATGTGACTCCTCTGAGGTGGGAAGTCTATAAACGGCAGGTGAGGGATAGAGAGAAAGAGGGAAGAGAGAGAAGCGCCTGGCTGATGTGAATTCTTAGGCAGCCAGATGGGGCATCATGGTGCTGGACCTACACAGGGTCATCAGGGGTCACCGCTCGGGGCCAGCAGGGTGCGAGAGGGCTTGAGAACATTGCTCATCAGCTGGCGGCTGGTCGTTATCTGTGAAAGGTGCAGATATACTGATTCTGTTGTTGCAGCAGATGATGAGGGTGATGATGATGATGATGGTGATTGAATTGGTATGATGAACTGATGGCTTCTTGGAAGAGCGTGCCATCTTTATGAGCCCGTTTACAGGGCTGGCTGCTTCAGTGGGAACAATAAAGGGTGAATGAGTCACTGCCTGGCTGTGCCCTGCCCGGAATTTCATTTGGGTGGGTGGCTGGGTGGGGGCGGGCAGGCAGGCAGGCGGGCTGATTGACGCGCTGGAGGATGCACTCTCACTCTCCCTGTGTGCTGCAGGGAACCTGGCCTTCACTCTGCTCCTGCCCTGTCGTGTTGACGCAGTCGGAATGAGTTGTGTGAGGTCTCGCAGCATTATACGCCTTGAGTGCTTGTGCACGTTTGCACACGTTAACGTAACATCCATCAGTGTGCAGGTAACGGCGCTTGGAGGATGGGAAACGTGCCATTGGTGGCGAGCCTTCCCCTCTTTGTTGGTAGCCCTGTGATGGTTGACCTAAGGAAAGAATTTGCATTCTGGTAGCTATCTTACTTTTGTACAGTCTCTCTGGTTCCGGTGTAGTTGTCACTAATAGTCAGCTCATCTCCGTCCACTGCTGCCCCTACGGTGTGACAGCCAGACGGGTAGGTTCCTCACTTCGTGAGCATACCTAAAATCCAACTTTGTGAAAGTCAGTCGTTGGCTTCTCACAGGGATATTCACAGCCTGATATCCTGGGCTGACTCTATTGACAGGCAGTAATCCCTTTTATTCCGACTGAATGGGCAGGACCTACGTGTCTGGTAGGGCTGTGCGATATGATGATATATATCAGGTGACGAAATAAAAATGTCTGTCATTTCATATTATGTTCTATTGTTTATTTTGTGGTGTTGCAAAATACACTGTATATGGCAACATTTTTTCATCATTTGGATGACATTTTTGCAAGGTTACACGCCACCACCTGGGATGCGGCTCTTGTACGGAAGTTTTTATTGGACTTTATTATTTGTAATCCACAGAAGACGATCCACAAATATGGACCATGATCCACAAATATTAAACTGTCCGCATATGTGTATTTTTTTAATTTGTGTTGTGTAAAATCATATCCACAAAAATAGAGCAATTTTCAATTTTTACATGTGAAATGTGCTTTGTACATTTCTGGATCATGTTTTGTCTATTTGTGGGTCGTGTTACATTTGTGACTTCTGTCATCTTTTTTGAAATAGTTTTGTGTTCAATTGCAATAGTTTTGCAATCCCACTACACTTGTCCACTTAATATTTGCTGCAACGTGACGGCATGGATAAACCTAAATAATACAGACATGTCATGTAAAGTGTGCTTTAAGCATTAAACTGTGGTGGACAATGTAACTTTAATATAATGTGTTTTTATACGAATTTATTAATCGCCAGTGACTAAATAAGACAACTGGACTATTGAACATGAAGTGCACACACACACTGAAAAATGTTACAAACAGTGAAAGATATTACAGCCAGAAAACTGCATAGAAAGCTAATTTTACTAGAGTGTTTTCTTAAGTTTTAAACTCAAACCCGCTTTCTGGAATATTTCAGTACAGATCCACATATCCCCACATACATCATCAAGCGAGAATACCAGGGAGGTATACCTGGAAGTGGCTATGACACTGCAGTAAAGTTAGCATTATATTCAGTTTTCCAGTAATATCTTTCAAGTTTCAACAAAAGCAAGCAACACAACATAGTTTCCCAGATTTCTTTACGGGCAAATTGTAATTAATATTTTAATGTTTGTGTGTGCACTTTACCTTCAATAGCCCAGCTGTCTTGTTTACAATCACTGACGGTGAATGAACACTGTGTAATTATTAATAAATATGTACAAAGGTGTATAACAACACATACATGAAAGTTACTTTGTGTGCATTATCCCCTGTAGTTTAATGCTTAAAGCGCACTTAACTGGACATGTCTGTATCATTTAGGTTTATACTTACTAATCCATTAATTCTATGTTTTATAGTTTATGCGGACACAGTACAGTTATTATTAGTAATGGAAAAGTTTTGCGAGTGAACGCAAAAGTACGGTGAGAGAACTCAAAACTATTTCAAAAAAAGATTCTCCCGCCCAGATCTCTTTGGGGCTCCTTATACACAGCTGATCTGTAGAAAAAAATCACAAATGCGTCACTATCCACAAATATGTATTTTTATTTGTGTTGTGTAAATCATATCCACAAAATACGGACCGATTTTGTACAAATGAAAATGGTTTTGCATAACTGTGGATGACTTCCCCTATATTTTTGGATCGCGTTACATTTGTGACCTCGCTCCTTTTATTTGTAGATTTTTGTCCAATTTTTACTGCAGCTGATCTGTAGAAAAAATCCATAAATACAAGGTGCAGCCATGATACATGTCATTATCGGAGTATGAGAGTGTTTATATCGGGATATATGATTTTGGTCATATCGCACAGCCCTAGTTTCTGGAATGTTCTACAAGTGTCATACATATTTTGGAACCGCATTTCACATTTGACTGTATTTGGCACTATGTAGGCTGCTTATATACACTCACCTAAAGGATTATTAGGAACACCCGTTCCAATTTCTCTTTAATGCAATTATCTAATCAACCAATCACATGGCA